TGGTCAGTTTTCACTGGATCACATAAGCGGAACGTAAGCGACGGAGTTGTAAACGGAGACGGAAAAAAATGGAAACGTTCTGATTCTTCTGACTCTGAATCCGTCGCGTTTATGACTCCGCTTACGACTCCGATTTTTGATAAGCTCTCTTACGACTCCGACTCCGTCGCTAGTGAAAACCAGAGTCGACTGTATTTCAGATCACGTGATATATTAAGTAATCGCGAACCATGGAAACCTACCATCACTGACAAGTATGAATGTTTTACGTTCATGTTGACTATTTATGATCGCATGAGCCAATCACTCCTTATTTGGGGAAAAAAAAACATGAAAATGGAAAAAAGACCAACAAAAACAACAAAACTGCCGGTAATTTTGAATAATGTTTAATTTAGAAANTAGAGTTCAAGATTTTAATTTTGACAGTTTTAAAGCATATCACGGAATTGGACCTAAATATTCAATAGACTCTTTAGCTGAAATATACACCTAGCAGAACACTCCGCTCCTTCCGCTTCTGCTTCGGACTCCGACAATCTGGTCAGTTTTCACTGGATCACATAAGCGGAACGTAAGCGACGGAGTTGTAAACGGAGACGGAAAAAAATGGAAACGTTCTGATTCTTCTGACTCTGAATCCGTCGCGTTTATGACTCCGCTTACGACTCCGATTTTTGATAAGCTCTCTTACGACTCCGACTCCGTCGCTAGTGAAAACCAGAGTCGACTGTATTTCAGATCACGTGATATATTAAGTAATCGCGAACCATGGAAACCTACCATCACTGACAAGTATGAATGTTTTACGTTCATGTTGACTATTTATGATCGCATGAGCCAATCACTCCTTATTTGGGGAAAAAAAAACATGAAAATGGAAAAAAGACCAACAAAAACAACAAAACTGCCGGTAATTTTGAATAATGTTTAATTTAGAAATCGTTAAAAATGGCTGGAAAGAAACAGGTGCATAGTTTACTTTAAAACTGGAATTTTTTTTTAACGCTTTCTCTCAAAATTTTCAGAGATGACAATTAGTTTTTATCAAAATTTTCAGAGATGACAATTAGTTTTTAGAATTCATATCCGCATTCACACTCCGAGCTGTGGTTTCTCCAGGCCGAACGCTACGCTAACGGTAGCTCTTCGTAGTGTAGCGTCCGGCCTGGAGAAACCGCGCTGCTCGCAGGATAATTCGCATTTTGTTTCCGTGTTTTACCCGATCTTCTTATGTGTAGTCGTATGTATCCGTGTGTTACTCGTATAATATCCGTTCGTACCCGTGTGGTGGTTTAGTCAAGATTCACATCTTAGCAGCTAGGCCATAGAGTAACTCTCTTTATGACCACGTTTTTTCGGCCAAAATGGCTGGATATTGGCCTCATCCATTTTTGTGATTTTATTCAACTGTCAACTCGACCTCACGCTCAGTCAAAGACACAAGAGAGTCTCGAAAAGCGCGGGGAGCGGGGGGAGGGGGTGGCGGTCCTCTTCCAACTCCGCGCGCTACTTTTCAAAGGCGAATGACTTAACCAACTTGTCAAAGCAAGGAGTCTTGGATCGAGCTGGGTGGAACGCATTCCGACTTTTTGGATAGACTATGTTTCCACCCTCACCACTCGTCCACCTTACAGGATCAAATTAAAAAGAAAAGAAACTACAAGAGCATCGTTTTCATTTTCTTTTTCAGGGTCAATGCCTACCAAGTTTGAGCATTAACTACGTCGCCATCAACGAAGATGCAGGAAAACGATGACCACAGCTTCATCAGTGAATCTTAATTCGTCGCGAGGTCATGGAGCGGGAACGTCATAGGAGTTTCCCACCCTGCCCACACACACACCAAAAAAGGCAATACAGAGGAAATGCACGGGAGAAAGAGGAAGTTGAAATGAATACTATCCAGCCTCTCTCCAAAAAAATACACTGAAAAGATTTGATGGTCGCTGGCGGAACATATTCGACTGCAAAAGGTTCCAACTACAGTGTTTGGGCGGAAACAACCGATTTTAGTTGCTTGGTTCAAGGGCCCTTCCAACGTCCCAAGGTTCGCCCATTATCACTTTTNTATGTGTAGTCGTATGTATCCGTGTGTTACTCGTATAATATCCGTTCGTACCCGTGTGGTGGTTTAGTCAAGATTCACATCTTAGCAGCTAGGCCATAGAGTAACTCTCTTTATGACCACGTTTTTTCGGCCAAAATGGCTGGATATTGGCCTCATCCATTTTTGTGATTTTATTCAACTGTCAACTCGACCTCACGCTCAGTCAAAGACACAAGAGAGTCTCGAAAAGCGCGGGGAGCGGGGGGAGGGGGTGGCGGTCCTCTTCCAACTCCGCGCGCTACTTTTCAAAGGCGAATGACTTAACCAACTTGTCAAAGCAAGGAGTCTTGGATCGAGCTGGGTGGAACGCATTCCGACTTTTTGGATAGACTATGTTTCCACCCTCACCACTCGTCCACCTTACAGGATCAAATTAAAAAGAAAAGAAACTACAAGAGCATCGTTTTCATTTTCTTTTTCAGGGTCAATGCCTACCAAGTTTGAGCATTAACTACGTCGCCATCAACGAAGATGCAGGAAAACGATGACCACAGCTTCATCAGTGAATCTTAATTCGTCGCGAGGTCATGGAGCGGGAACGTCATAGGAGTTTCCCACCCTGCCCACACACACACCAAAAAAGGCAATACAGAGGAAATGCACGGGAGAAAGAGGAAGTTGAAATGAATACTATCCAGCCTCTCTCCAAAAAAATACACTGAAAAGATTTGATGGTCGCTGGCGGAACATATTCGACTGCAAAAGGTTCCAACTACAGTGTTTGGGCGGAAACAACCGATTTTAGTTGCTTGGTTCAAGGGCCCTTCCAACGTCCCAAGGTTCGCCCATTATCACTTTTGTGTCAAGAGAAATATTTTGGGCGGACCTACACAGGGGTCTCCTTAACAAGGTGTGCGTAGGTGCAAAGAGCCTTCAATAGAAACATTTCAAGCTACAGACATAGGATTCAGCTTCGGCCTGATGGGCCACTTGGCTGGAGTGCTGACCTAACCTTTTACCCACCGATGCCCAACGCGTCTAACCTGAGTTACTAAGCTGATTTAGCAACAGAATGGGGACGTCAGTTGACGACGAGAAAGCGCGCGGAGAGGACTCAACTCGACTTTCGGTGCCTAATTTGCCGCCGTGCCATTGGTCACGCCAGTTGTTTAATTTCCGCGCGCCGTCGTCACCTGATGTTCCCGTTCTGTTTCTAAATCAGCCTACTGATGAAATAGGGACTTCTGCAGGTTTAAGCTTAGGCTTGTGTTTGGGTTAGTGGTGAATAGAAATCTTTATATTTGACGACGAGTAGGAGTACTTCTAACAGTCAAATCTAAAGGGCAGGGTTTAGTAGACTGCGATTTAGATCTCAGTGAAGCTACAGGAACCGCAAATCTGTGCCAGCACGACACTGAGACGTTTCCTTGGCAAAAAAAAAGAAAAGAAAAGAAAAAGAAAGCAAAAGTTAGAAACGTCCTGGGAAAGAATGAGGACATAGAATCCCTCTCTATTCCTCTTTACCGGATACTACACAGAAAAAAGATCACGCCATAAATGCTCATAACCCATATTTATTAAAAACAAAACAAACAGTTGAGTGGAACGACATAAACTAGTAATAGCGCAGATTCCTTTGCCATGCGCAACTAACAGCTCGAATAAAAGAAGACAACTGGCATTCTATGACAGCATCCTTCATAAAGAAAGTCCATACATACCTGCAAAATGAAACAATCTACATCTTAATATATCAATTTACCAAATACACAAGAAAAAAACCCGTTTTCATTTGTCCACCAAGAGCTCACCATACTCTAGTTCTCGCACCCGCTGCCACCCTTCTTCAGTACGCATGTTTTACTAGTTTATGAACTTCCTAGCCTGATCCAGGCGTTCAGATAGTGAGGAGTGGCCCAACCCCTTCCTGTGCTCTCCTATACACTTTTTAAATGCTGTCCCTACTATCTGAACGCTTTGAACAGCCTATGAACTTTCGAGCAAAAGCACTCCATTTTAAAAGTAAGGTGATGTAACCATTTCACAGAAAGAGGGGTACTGGGAGCAAAAAGGTGATGGAAAGCAGTTGAGGAATGGAGAGTTGCCGAACGTGGCCCAAGAAATCTGATCCTTACGCAACACTACACAAATTTTTAAAACATGGAACGTTGGCCTTTGACGATCAGCCAAGTAAAGCTCTTTATGTTATCATCACATGTTGGCAGTTACGCTTCCCATTAGGTTTTAGGTATCTGGTTCCGGTTACTTCAGCAACGGCCTTACAGGGTATACCCATTTCGGTCTTGAAGCAACTTTCTCAAGGTGGTGCCCGTACACTGAGCTCCGAATCGCACGCAGCCTAAAACTCCAGGCCACAGTTGTTTAGAAGATGGATGGTGCTATCCGCCGGAATCTCTATTAAGTGGACAACGCAACAGATTTCCTAATACTACTAATCCTGTAGATAGTGCAATCCATCGTTTGAAACGGGGCCTGGGGCCTAAAATGCACAAGTGAATAATCACTTTTCTCCACAATCGTCGCGTGCTAACCTGGAGCTAGACAATGGGCATTTAGCGAATAGCCAATGAAAACTTTTATTTGATCTCCGCCTAAACCACTGCTTTGTAACAGGTTTTGCAGGTTCTTTGCAGCTTGTCGGTCACATGGTACAACTAGACCATGCTGAAGTGCAAGAAATTCACTGGGACAAGACAAATGTACGCCTTTTGTTTGTCTCGTCGCATTGTTTTTCCCCGCACTCGAGCTTTGCGATTGGTGCCACAGTATTGACCAGCTGCAATGAGGTTGCGGGGTAGAGCATGAGAAATTAGGTGCAGTGGGGGACGTGGCGATAGGAATAAAAGGAAGTCTACGAATATGCCGGGAAAGTCGATTGAATAAGCTACTCAGTACTGTTTGGCCAATCACCTGACATAAGAAATGCCGACAGGATCCTGTGCGTGACAAGCCAAAAGAATCCCTTGTGGGAGACTAGGGATTCGACTTATTAACCTGGGACCAGGTTTCGCAGTGGGGAAAAGGGCAAAAAACAAAAATAGGAAAAATATCGGCGAACGAAGCGAGCCCAGCGGTGGTCTAGGGAGGGAGAAAGGGCGGCGCCACACTTTCCCCTGCCCAGAATACGTCGCGGCTCGCGATTATTTTTTTCCTTTTTTTCCCAATGCGGAGCCTGGTCCCAGGTTATCGACTTATTGAAGAACCAACCAACTCACCTTACAACAGCACTCAGTCGTGTTTCCTGTACTGGGACATAATGGTTAACAAAACAAGTTACCTGCATCAACTTACCAACATCAACAAATTTACATACTAATAACTGCTCGACTTTAGTCAACTAACACAAGCGAGTTCTACTATACCGCATGACTAACACGTGATTATCTCAGCTCCAAGATATACCATTCCATGTGACTGGCACGTAATATCCGAAGTATACTATTCGTTGCAACACGCACGAAACTACGGTATATCGAGGAGGAAGCTAAAGTACTGGCCTGTGGTTATTTTCTCATCGCTTAATGTTTAAATCTGAACAGAACTTCGGACGCCAGTTCGCACATAAAGGAAATTCTAACATAACTAACTTCGGAGCCTTCATCCTGCTTCATTTCAAGATCACTATCAAACCAAACTATCTCCACCACGCTGAATGGTTCAAGACCAATTTTCACCGCAGATATGTCTTGCTTTCTACGGGGAGATGATAAGTCTGAGAAAAATTTAGGTTATTGTGCCAACACGTAACTACCGCTGCGAGTACGGGTCCTTTGGTCGCCTGCAATAACAAGTCAAGGAGCAAAAAACTTGATTGCAAAGGTACAGTTTTAGAAGTCTGCCGGCGATCTCGTTAAGAAGCTTTCCTCGTCTGGGTCTGTTAACTCTTTAATCCTGAACACACGAGGCGGCAATAAAGCAACCGTTGGGTTGAATTAATACTTAGCGGACTGTAACCTTTATTTTACATTCTAAATCCCCAACTACTGTAAAATAGTAAAGTAATGCCCTGGTAAACAAAAGCTTCAAACTGAAATTAAGACATGCAAGTTGAAATATTTTGAAAATTGATCGAAAACTTTAACTGTGTAGGGTGACTGGCTAACATCGCGATAAAACATACTAAAACGGCTGATATAAAGATTGGAACTCAACAGGTATTAACCCCTTACGAGGTTGGGATTATATTTTTTTTCACTTTAACCTTAAATCGATCACGTCAATTAGCAGTGTTCAACCGTTTGATGATCAGAGATCAGACTAACATCTCCCTTATTCTAAAATATAAGTCATGACACGGTAGACTTGATGAATGAATCTAAAAACGTTTTTCACATGCAGCAGTCTATGTACAGTTCGGAATACACTCAGCAACAAGAAGCAGGTGCCTCGAAGAGGTCATTTTATAACAGTTCAGGGTGCTCTCAGTATCGGCGCATCACACTAACACGAGGAGGTGCCTTGTAAGGGTCATATCTCACATCAGCTGCTGCAGCATGTCGCCTGTCAGGCCCTGGTACTGCACTCCCATTGTAAGGTCCTCGGGCCACAGGTGTAGCTAGTGATGGTGCGCCAGATTGGTTCCACGGGGGCAGAGCAGCGTCCCTGGCAGGTACAGCAGCACGTGACCTGTCATCAACAATTGGTCTCCCGCCACTGGACAAACTGAGTGCTGGGTTAGCTACTTGACGGGAATCCAGTCCAGTTCCCCAGGCTCCTCTCGGCGGCATAGAGTCGCGGCTTACTGGTGCTCGCGTGTCACGTGCATCGTACAAGGCTCCCGCACGTGCCAAGTTTTGTTTGACTTCAGCTCCGCGGTCACGTGATCGATCTCGTTCTCTAGCAGCCAAGGCATCCCGGTCACGTGATGATAAATTCTGGCCATGCGTATCGCGCCAGTCTCGTGCTGGTGGCTTGCTGGATTCCACTCCCCCTCCTCCGAGACTGACAGAGCGGTGGCTATCATCCATCGGCAGTGATCCGAACCGCGCATCAACATGAGCTGAGAGTCCAGACGCTCCGTGAGGGAAACCGGCGCCACGATCAGCTTGAGGGATGGGAGGCCTGCTGTCCCTCGGATCAGGGGCACGCCAGGAGGGTTCGTCCATACCACCCACAGACTTTCCGAGATCAGCGCGCGAGCTGTGGCTTTGGACTGCTGGGCCTGGACCCAGAATATTACCGACACCGGCACGCTCCAACAGGATGTTCAATCTCTTCTGTGGGTCCATGCCTGCCGCCCCCAGTAGTCCGATATTAGCTCCTGACAGCTCTCCTCCAGCCACTGCCCAGGCCTTACTCTCATGGCTACTGCGACTCTCATGCAGGCCCCTGTCACGGGATCCTCTAGGGTGGTCACTGTCACGCCCTGTTGGCTTGTCACGCCCACCACGATGGCTTTCATCACTACGGCGGTCTCTTTCATCTTTCTTCAATCGCCGTTCATCCGCTCGGTTCCACTCCTCACTCCTACGCCCACCTGCGGCTTGCCTAGGCTCGTCACGATGACTTCCTCTGGAGTCACGTCTGTCAGAAGTCACATTCGCACGGTCACGCCTGTCACGGTCATTCACACTACTACCAAAAAAGTCACGCGATCTTCCTTCTCCCATTGCAGCTCGTTTAGGTTCCTGCCAGAAGCCAACTGGCTTCTGAGCATGTCCAGGGTCGCCGCGCTCAAAGGGAGCGGCGGGGCGTTTCAAACTACGCCGGTCGCGTTCTAAACGTTCACGTTCCAAACGCTGACGGTCTAATCGCTCACGCTCAAGGCGTTCGCGTTCCAAACGTTCCAAGCGTTCTCTTTCGATGCGCTGCAAGCGATCACGTTCAATTCGTTCACGCTCAAGTCTTTCACGTTCAATCCGTTCACGGCGTTCTCTCTCCAAGCGTTCACGTTCTTCACGTTCGCGGCGTTCCCGTTCACGCTGCCGTTCTAATTCCCTTTGTCGTTCAATCTCACGCTGGAGTCGGAGTCGCTCTCGTTCTTGTCTTTCGCGGAACTCTCGTTCCCGAATAAGTTGCTGCCTCCTTCTCTCGCGTTCTCTTTCTCGTTCACGTTCGCGCTGTCGCTCAAGCATTTTTTCACGCTCAAGTCTCTCACGCTCACGTTTGAGCCTGTCTTGTCGCTCACGTTCCCGTTGTTCTCGGATTTCTTTAGCTCTCTCCTGACGCTGCCTCTCTTGACGGTCACGGCGGATCTCGTCCAGGGACTTGATTTTAGGAGATGAGCGATCTCCACTTTTCTCATCGTCGGTTTTGGCAGATTTCTTATCGTCCTTTTCCTTGCTTTTATCCTTTTCCTTGTCGCTGTCTTTCTCCTTCTCTTTTTCCTTCTCCTTTTCCTTGTCTGAAGTTTTAGAAGAGGATGAGTCACTTTTCTCTTTGTTTGTTGAAGAAGCTCGCTTAGAATCGTCGTCCTTTTTACCACTTGAAGAAGTACTTCCTGTGATTAGCATTAATTGTAAAACAAAACAACAATATTTATACTCAAAATCAAGCTCAAAATGGGCTGGGTTAAGTAGATAGGAGTTGTGAAAGGTATGGGTTTGGAGCGATGTCCACTCTCCTATGAACAACTGAGAAGCAACTGATTACCTAGCTTACTCACAAGGAGCGCTGAATAAAATAAGAGGAATGACAAAGGGGACAGTTCTCAAATAAAACCGCATCAAATGTCATTTCCAGATTATGAGGAAAAAATGGAATCACCCTGGGGAAAGATGGACCTTCAGGCTGGCATCAAGATATTGGCGCCCAGCACCAAAGTTTAACGAACGTTACTTGTCTTGGGAATAAAAATCGCATCTTGCTAACTGGACCTTATCCAATGCTTTCACTATAGTGTGGGTACTATCGATGTCATCTTCTTGGTTTAGCGCTGCTTCAGGAAGGGTGCATCCTGCGCAATTCTCTATGAAGAACAGCGCTCAAAATGGCGGGTTTGGATTTGCCTTCAGTTTACTCCTTAATTGACTAATTCAGCTGATATGGTCAAATTTTGGTGGTTCACTCCCCACCAATGAAGAACAACTTTTTCTTTAGGAACTGATTTGTTTAGCGTGAAGAGAAGTTGGGAAACCAAGCACAGAAGTGACAACAAGAGTGCCACAAAACTGCCTTTGCGTGATTCTACAAGGAATTCCTTCACAGGACTGGAATTACATGATGCAGTTTAAAGGAAGCTTATGTAAACATGACAATAGCAGATGCTAATGAGTCACACAACTCTAGGGTTCCCTGAAGCTAAACGAAGCATTCTGTATCCTGAACCTTCCACAATTTCACAAAGAAGCTATGCACAAGAGAGAATAGAAAGGAAAATACTTACATGACATTATGGCGACCTATCTAAAATTCACTACATAAACATCGATAAAACAAAGCACACGAGCAAAAAACACAAAGAAAATCACATTTATAAAGAAATGAGCTAACAGACTGACCTGACTTCTGTTGTTTTGGGGTTGGTTTGGTGGAAGACTTAGCTGGTGTTTTTGCGGAAGTTTTAGTAGCTGTTGTTGATTTACCAGTCGATGTTTCAGCTGGTTTTTTACTCTTGTCTGGTTGCTTCTTGTCATCAGCTTTAGCTTTTGTTTTATCTGCTGAATCAGCTGTAAAACACATAAATGCCTCCTTTAGTCCAGCCACCTTACTTCAAGAGCTACTAACAGGGTTCGCAAATACGCCAAATTTGGCGTATTTTACGCCAAAATTGTTCAGATGACTCCACTGAGGTTACGGAGGGAGTCACTAACAAATACACTTTACGTTAATTGTAAACATTGTAAACCTTAATTACGTCATCGAAATTAAAGAATTATATACGACAAAACAGGAAGAGGGTAAGCAGGTAAATTACGATCAAAGTTTACTCGATGACCGCCAGTGGATTTGAGCTTTCCAGGTCGGCGGACCGCCACAGCTACTTCGTGTATCCCTCACGATAGTGTATACATGCCAGGACCACGTGCTGGAAAGTCTGAAACTTGACTCCAAATATTCCAAAATGCCTCCAAAATTTGTAAAGCAGAAGTCGAACTGACTCCACTCATCAATAAAATTTTCAAACGCTGGGCTATTGAATCTAATACTACCCCAATCAAATGATACTGAGCACCTACTGTTACCTTTCCTTTGGGGTTGAATCTTTATTCCATCCAAACAAAAGTCTCTACGCATTACAAGAACTTTTTGTGATACTGTGTACGTATAATAATTTAATTCAAAACGAGGATGAAATCCTTAAATATGACAATTATGCAACCAAGGTTGTTCCAATATTATTAGTTAACCTGCACCTTCTTAGAACAGGATAAAAAGGGCTCGAAAAAAGCTGTCTGATAGTCTGGGACACCTAGACTTTCTTGCAGGAAAAGGAAAAATTTTTTTCTATATTTTTAAACTATGACAAGCATGAAGTGACCCCCAGCAAGCAAGTCCAGATAAAGCGCAATACTTACCCTTCTTATCTGCTGGTTTCTTATCAGCTGGCTTTTTCTCAACTGGTTTCTTTGCAGCTTGTTTCTTGTCTGCCGGTTTCTTTGCAGTACTGCTACCTGACTGTGTCGTAGGTATGCGATCACCTTTGGCCTGTCCAAACATACAGCAAATCAAATCATATTGGCTTTTAGAAAGTTATTTAGCAGTCCTTACCATTACAGACTAACAGACTGTCAGTCACAAACTTAAAGATGTTTGCACCTACACTGTAAAGGAGGACAGGTGGCGAAAAAACATGTTCTAACAGGATGCCAAACATGACATATTTCTCCACTAAATATTCAAAGTTTAACAAGTGGTCACAGGGAAACCTTTATCTGTGATAATTATCAGAAGTAGAAGATAAGGGGAGTTTTGTTTACCCTGTCGACTGTAATGGTCTTTCCATGGAGCTCTGTGCGGTGGAGGTGTGATATACACTTGGCAGCCTCTTCACTAGTTGACATGGTAACAAGACCAAAGCACTGTGAACCAGGAGACTTGGAGTTTGTAACTATCTTTGCTCCAACAACCTGAAAGAGAAATAGAGAACAACCATTAACATCTGCCTAGTTACAGCTCTGGGTGTTGGCTTTTTACATCTGCTTCAGAGAAGTGCCTGCTTAAAACAAAGCAAGGTATCCTTAGCTTGCAGGCAGGCCCCTTGAAAGAAACTAAAAACTGGGTGCTCACAAGGAATGTATACTTGAATTGAAAGATTTAAAACTTCAGCATACATCGAGGTCAAACTTACAAACTCACCTTTCCATACTGACTGAACCTTGTCTTAAGATCAGCAGCTCTGGTCACTGAGGACAGATTGCTCACCCACAGACTTTTGCCAGTTTCTTTCTTGTCCTTTGCAGACATTGTGCTTTTCGCTGGAGTTTTTGCAGGAGTTTTAGCTGGCGTTTTTGTTGTCTTGTCAGTACTTTTAGTGGACTTGCTTTCAGCCGCCTTGCCTTTTGATTCACTGGCTTTGCTTTTAGTCTCTTTGCTGTTTGAACTTATCAGCAAAGAAAAATATTTAGAAAACTAATTGGAATCCATTCATCAAAAAGGTATTTTTTTAATTGAATGCCACATGCACGAGTCTCAAAAACGTAATGTAACACAAACATGCCACAAACAATCACCACAACATCTCTGCTACATAAACTTCACCAAACCTTTGATATGTGGATAACTAATGCGAACAATAATAATATACCTAAGGCACTTTTTTCCTTCCCCATTACGCTCTTAGTTACTTCTAATTTCTAAAGGAGAGGCCAATATATGTCTCCCTTAAGTCTTTTTAAGCTGACCTCCAAGCTTACAGTCAATATGTTGTGTGAAGAGGACATGAGCTGCCTTCTTTTCCATCAGATGCAAAGTCCTTAGTATTCAGAAAGGTAACAATAAAAACTTAATAACTGGTACCTCGGAAAACAGATAAATTTTGTTTCCCGAAAACCTTGATGTTTCCCAAGGCAGAGCTGAGGGAAACACTGAGATTCAACGGCAACAAGGGCAACAAAATCAACTGTTACCCCAAGGGAGCAGTGAGGACAAAATAACAAATTTACTTTAGAAAAAAAGGTTCCTTAGAGGTAAACCAATGAACACTAATGTTCCTTTAAGGAACCTTTCATTGTAATCAAAGTTGTTATTTTGTCCTGTTAAAGTGATTTGCTACATAGCTGGGAATTTTGAAGTAGAAAATTATAAACCTCGCTGTACTGGCAGTCACTGGTCAATATTTGCGGGTAACAGTGCACTGCTAGATGCCATATGACCTCAAAGTAATCAATGAGAGCGCATCACTGTTGGGGAAAAATTTCCAGCTATATAAAAATGTTACATCTTAATGCAGTACTTAAGACTGAGAGGTGTTAAAGCAAGTTGTAGGATGTTACCTTTGTCCTTTGGCCACAATTCCCTCTTTGGGTTTCTCCTCTGCTTTAGTTTTCTCTGTTGTCTTCGTGTCATCTTTTGAGGAAGCCTTAGTCTCACTCTCCTTTGATGAACTTTTACCTGTCCAAAAAAGGAAAAGAAGGCAAAGATTCATAACCAAGGCCGCTGCATCAAAACATCTTATAAAGACCGATTTAGTTTTTGAAAGTGCTGCGAAATTACTGAATTGTGTAAATTGGTATTTCCATAAATAAAGAAATATTTATGCAAACATTCCCACCCCCACCCCCAGTTTGTGTGATACTTCTTTGAGATTACATAATAATACAAAACACATTCACTTAACAATCAGCAACAACAGACCCCCTTCTCCCTCCCTAACAACAAAAACTGACCCACTCTTCCCCAGACAACGTTGTTCTTTATTTGTTAACGTGAAAAGTAACAACCTCTTGATAGTGCATTTTAGAAATAAATTGTTTGGCATGATGTGCATTATCACAAATGGTCTTTGGCTTAAGTTAAGTTAGAAAACCACAAATACTTTACAACATTTTAATATGTCACTAACTATAATGTAATTTAGGCTATGTTAACTCAAGACAATGCTGACCAGCAGTCTCCACTGCTAATTGTATGTGGGGTGGGCTTAGGGCTTTTTCAGGGCCCCAGCAATTTTACAGTGCTCATTCAGAGGTCAAGTCATTTTGCATCTGTTGTCTTTGCTTGTGTCATACCATTTTTGCTCCCATCCCCTCCCTCCCTCTTAGTGGCTCTTGGTAAGTATCTGAAAACTTTCCACTGGTCATGGGGTTTGAAGTGTGATGCTTCCTGGTGGTTGCTGCTCACAGGGTTGTCATGGTTACCTTCACACTCGCTTGTGACTCCCTCAGTTTGCTCAGGCACCTGAGCAGCATAGCAGCCACAGAAATTAGAGAAGGATTTTTGTTTACCTTCAGCAGCTTTTTCTTCTTTCATTTCTTTTTCCTTGGCAGCAGCAGCAGCAGCAGCCGCAGCGGCTTCCTTCAAATCATCATCCAGGTCATCTTGAATGTCATCTGTGTGAACAAATAATGACACTGACAAGCTGTTCTCTTTAGAGTCTAACTCTGATGTATCCATGGAAACAGTTTCCTCTTGATCATTTTTAGCTTGCTCACTTGAATCTTCAAGGCTTACTTCGGCTGCTGATGTATCCATTGCCTCCTCAGATTCAGATTTGTCTTTAGTTTCTGCTCTTTCAGTACCTTTTGTAAAAACAGTTTGTAAATGTAAATAATTATGAAGACATCAGGAAAATCTGAAACACTGTATGATGAAAGCAAAGTCTTCGAACAGTGAAAGGCTGTTCCCTGAAAAGATTTTTCAGGCTCCTACTAAAACAATGACATTATATTTCTGTGAGCACAGTACAGTACAGGCCACAGGCATTGCAGCACTCACACGCACATAAATTGTGTGCAATATGGCGGATTTCCACAAAAAATCCAATCAAAAAAACGCGTTTATATTTTTGAACGAGCTTTTACACGCAGATTTTTTACACGCAAATTTGAGTGTATTTTTACGGTGACTGATTTTGCTAATAAAAATACATGCAAGTTGCGTGTACTTCTTCACAACAGCAAATGTGGCTGATGTAAAATTAGAAACCGACATTTTGGAAAACATATTTTGCTGTGAGAAAGAAAACAACTTACTATACACTTTCTTTTACCTGTCTTACTATGATCATGCTACGATCGCGAACGTCATGTTTTGCAATCAACTATTTTTTTGGCTGTTGGCTGAAGCGCTATTTTACATGTACATGTAAACCTGGATGCATGTTACTTGCCACAACTGTTGTTTTGAAATAAGTTCAATGTTTAAGCTTTCGTAGCAGGTGCTTGGACTTCAGTACACTGTTTTTTCAGACTTGTTTATAATACGCGCTTAAAACATGGTTCGAGTTATCGAGGGTAAAATTGTAGAGAAATGATCTGAAGGGAAACAAAAATTACTTGGTAAAATTTCGGTAACAGGCTGTATGAAGGAATTTTAACGGAAACCAACTTGAGTAAGCGCGATGTTAAAGTTAGTGAGGGTTCGAAAGATTGGGACAACTAGAAGGTTTGATTTTGCCCAAGGATTTCACACGATCGGCACTAAATTTTACAGACCATACAAGGTTTCTATTTTACATATGCCTTTATTCTAACATTGAATTAGCGTCGAGCTTCACGATATGTCCTTAGTTGTTGCTTAAAAATTTCAATGCATTACTAAACTTGGATACAATTTCACTCCGAATTTGCACGTTATTTGTGACGCACCGTCTGTTAAAATTAGACAACATTTAAAATAATTTGCTTCCATGCATTTTCTGGAAAATATAGAAACTTGCGTAAACGATAAAAATGCAGTGTGTTATTTTGTTTGCCCCTGACAAGGATTAAACAATCTTTGCTGAAAACGTAGACCTTAAAGGAAAACCTTTCCTTTGCAGGTAAAAATACAACCCTGGAACTAAAATTAGTTCTTGCAGTAATGCCGGATTGTTTGCTTAAACATAGATGGACGACGCGACTGAGTCATGCTGGTGTTGCGAGCTAAAAGAGATTTAGATTCTTGCCAAAAAAACAAGTCTTTTCTCATTTGGACCTACATTGCAGGAAGGAGAAAGGAGATTGCTGCAGAAGAAAATAACTCAAAGCAGCGAGCTAAATAAAAGTAGGAGATGAAAGCTGTAAACAAAATACATGTAGAAGCGACCCTTAACCAAAACAGAGATGTAAATTACAGCATCTCATTACAGAGTGGTTGGTCCATCAAAATAGTTGTGAATTGATAACTCAAACTGAGTTTAGTCGAAACCTTTTTATAACCTCTGTGAAGTCTACAAATGAAGATTCAAGCGAAGAACATGTAAATATTTAAAAACAATGTTTATTTGGAAAAAAAAATTGGATCACTTTTAGCCCCGATAACATAAAATACTAACATTTGAACGTGCCTCGAAAGTTTGATTTATGCTAACAAATTAAAGCCACCAGCAAAAAGTACAACTGCACTCGCTCAGCCAGCGATGTGAGAACTCAAGTAAACCCAATACACGCAAATTACAACAATCTGTGTGTCAAGTTTTACACCCAAATTTTCCTAATTTGAATGTATTTTATTGTGCATCTTTACGTGTACATTTTTCCAAGAGTGTTTCACTCGTGTTTTTCTCGTGGAATTTGCGTGCAATATGACGGATTTCCATGCCTGAAACACGCATGAAATGCTGTAATGCCCATGGCCTGTACTGTAGTTAGCATCTAGAACTATATTTACCTTCCCTTTCTTCATCTTTAACCATTTCTTTGTCTCCAGTCTACAAACAGGCAAGTGTCAAGTTAGTTTCACTTTCCCCTAACTATAATAAAAATTTCACTTCAACAATCAGTTCAGATTGATCTGAACTGCAAAACGACATGAACAATCATAGCCATCTGGCCCATTTCCTTGAAACAAAATTAATTAACCAAAGGTGAAGCTCAATAAGCAAGTTTTGTATCCCGGGGAGGCCTAGGGCGAGTGCTTGTTTTTGTGCAGAAGCGAGGCTAATGCGGGTGCAAGAAGACAAACAAACATAAGAGAACTGCAGCTGACTTACTGAGGAAAATCTTAAAGGTTTAATGTTTCGATAGGCTCCAAACTTACTTATAAGCTTAAGAAATCATTGTTATGTACAGCAAAAGGAAGATCAGCTCTTCATCACCGAGAAAAACAACGAGTGAAACCAAAACTTGTACAGAAGAGTGGTTTCGTGAGCGAGTTCAATAAAAATGCGAAGATGGTTTCAAAATCCTCAAAACATGGTAAAACCCCCAAGCCATTTTTAAGTCCATTTTCGGTGATCAGTTATAACTTCTTTAAGTAAGCCTTTCATTGAAATGTGGTAGTTATCGACCACCCCTTTCCACAGTTTTTTTCCACCCGCATTAGCCTTGCAATCATGCTCGTCCCAGGTCAGTAGGGGAATATGAAACTTGCCTATTTTAAGCAAAGCTTTCTTGCTACAAACAAGTATAGAGTAACTGGAACTTAAAACTAATGTGTCAGAGCCCTTACTTCAAGATCAAGTTATGATAACACAAAAGTTTACTTTGAACACTCTGCAGGTAGGTAAATACAACTGTGGATTAAAATTCTAATCCTAGATAAGCTCTTAATGGCTTTTCAGGAACCAAGGCCTTGGATGCTCATGGTGAACATTAACATAAGAAACCTTCTCACCTCTTTACTCTCATCCACATCATTTTGCTCTTCCAAATCTTCCAGCTTAATATCATTCTCGATTAATGGTGAATCATCCACATCCTTTTCAGCATCTTGCTTCTCATCATTCTCTACATCTTCAGATTTAATGTTGGAGGTATCAATGGACTCCTCGATCTTATTGCTGTCAAGCTCTTCCTCACTGTCTGCATGTTCCTGTTTGAAATCCTCTTCAGCAATGAGATTTCCATTTTCTTCCTCCTCTGTTTCATCTTCCTGAGTTACATTTTCTTTCTCTTCTTCATCCTTTCAAAAAGAAATCATCATATTAATTCAGTATTCACTTCGAAATCCTGGTTGGCATGGCTATCGTCATCGCTGAATTCCCTTAAAACCACCATATCAGTTCATATAATCACAATCTCCTATAAAACCGTTTTGTCGATAAAAAAAAATACTTTCAGTTTCACTGGTAAAGTGGGCCACTTGATTTGAAGTTAATCCTTCATGATGGTCAAAGTTAACAATTATGAGGGTCTTTCACCTAAGACACAAAGCTTTTTTTAAACCAGTTGAAATCCAATATTGGGCTGGCTTCATGTCTCTGTGGAAACGTATTTTTACTGTATTGCTTTCCTGCCTTTACGACTCCAGTAACCCACCACAGAGGAATATGGTTGTCACCTTTCTAATGTTGACAAATTTGAATAACAAATGACACAAAAGTTTTATTATCATGGAGCCATTAGTACTTGTTGAAACATCTGATATATAAAAAAACATCTTTGGCAATTTTTTAATCACGGAGTTGTTGGGAATATTTCAGTGACCGGGTATTCTGAAATTTAGCCTACCCTGGAATTTAATCTGGCTTTAAGTTAGATAAGATCTAATCGTACAACTGTAAGGACAAAGGGATCGCTGTTCAATTACGCATGTTAGTGTCGGGTTAGTCATTGCCATTTAAACGACATGCTACCGCGGCAAAAAAAATTAAATGTGCTTGTGCTGTTCGCTGATCCGCTGCCTATATCTTCCCCCCTGCATCCTGCTTCCATAGGCAAAAGATCAGAAATAGAGCCCTTCACACGAGAAGACATAAAACTAGGACCCGAGACATGCAGACACTTCGTAAAACCAATCGTTCACTTACAGCTTCGTTGGTTTCTTCCTCTTTAACTGCGGCTTTCTTTTCTACAAAATTGAAGACAATCCAAATAAACGAATAAAAACAGAGACTAAGGCACGGTTTTAAATCATTGATGGAAAGTATAAACAACGGTAGAGACTTTAGCCTCCGGTTGCTCTTACTCAAAACAGGTGTGATGGAAGTTTTCTTCGCCTGTTTCTGACCGGATCTCTTGGGAGAAACTATCGGACTCGAAGGTTGTTCGTCTAGAACACTTTCCTCTTCATCGTCCACCATATCAACGCTGTCTATGGGAATAAACTCTGCAGTTTCTTCTTCGCCATCTTGTTCTTCCTCTAAGGCCTAAAAATCGAAGATAAGCACAAGATAAGCTTATGTAAGATCAGAAAGCTGGATAAATTGCAACCATTCACACAAAGCGAAGAAACAGCTGTAATTTGTTGAACAGTTACGAGATCTTGCCTTCTGCAATCGCTCCACCAAAACTGCCTTTACTCCACTCTTTTCTAAACCTCTGATTTCGAGCTCTTGACGGAGGTCTACAACTCGTAAATCGGCGAGTTTCTTTCCGCCCAACATAAGCGTCGCCATTTTCAGCAGAGCATGTGGATCGGGAATGGTGGCAAAAAGGCAAGTACCCGGATGAGGCTACTGAATCGCACGCGCAGTGACTGCTTGGAAAAATTGCCTTTCCGATTTTCACACGAAGTGTAACGGACATTCCCGACTATCGCAGGCTCATAACCCATGGCAACAAACATGGCTGTCCTTCTTTTTGTATGAAACTGTGAGAGAGTTTGTTTATGGTGTTTATGTCTGTATGATGGCTCAGCTGGATGATTTAGTAAGTAAAAAACTTGTTGTCGATAAGTGAAAGTAACTTATTTTAAATTTACCTGGTTTCCTTAGTATCAAAAGCAGTTTTTCCGGCAGACAATGATAACATAAGCTAAGACCATCTCCAAGCTAAAGCTATCAACTGTCAGAGTTCAATAAGTTTTCAAAATTTTCTCGCGGTTTTTTTATCTACACCAGTATATTACTTATCTATTGTCAAAATTTCAAGCAAGGGAGACCTTGAACACAGATTCATGTACCTGCAAATTTTTCGTCGACTTAAATACATCGGCTTACACATGAGATCGAGAAGTACAATGTTTTATCATGATGAACTGACATAAATTAAAATTAAAGCAGAGAAATTTTAACATATTTGAACCAAGGGTAACATCCAATCACAACACATTAACTGGCAGTATAATCACTCAAACAAATGTTGCATATTACAAAACATAAATTGTTTTTAAGCTTATGTTGTGATTCAGATTTTATCCCTGGTTTACATGTAGATTTTATTTTCATTTGTTTTTGGGGGGTATAGGTACAGGGCTGTCAACCCCCCATATCATCAAATATTGAGAATTGATTGGGAAAGAATGATAAATGATGTCATACCGCACAAGAAATGACGACGTTTATGCCAAAAATGCTCGTTGATTTCAATTATTGACATATATAGTACAAACAGTTCATATTTAGCCACATTATTGCTTAAATTACAGTGGCATACCAGAATTTATCAGGAAACGTTCCATGTTAACAGTAGCTCAAACAATGCAAGATATTTGAAATTTTATGGTCAGAAAGTCGAGTCTACAAGAAATAGCAACTTTGGCAATTATCCGGGAGATATATCGGACTCTAATCTGGAGACTGGGAGATATGGTCCAAACTTTGAAGTCTCCCGGATTATCCGCGAGAGTTGATAGCTCTATAGGTATTGGTAATGTATGATAATGGGCTTGAATAAGAGCCATGCTAGATGTGTCAGAAATAACTGTCAGAAAGATAGTAGAGAAGCAGTGGTTCACATAAGAACATATAATAAGGGGTGAATGTAAAAAGACGAAAGAAGTAAAAGTCCTATCCTTGACAACAGTAAAGCTTTTTTATGTTTCTCAGGGTGTTCATTAGAATTCTAGTAGCAGAAAGGTGTAACCTTACAGGGGAATATTCTGAAAGAGGCTCCACGTCTGAATAAAAAATAGTCATAGGCCACAGAATGTTAGCCGGAGGAATCTGCGTAGTAAACGGAGAATTCTCAGACGATCTCCGATGCCTAATGAATTGTTCTAATATTGTTTTGATTCCTACACTTCTAGGAGCATGAAAAATTAAGAAACAATAATGCATTTGATAATGGGCACTGACTGTCAAAATTGGAAACATTGACAGTGACTACTTCGATCTTCCTTGTCCTGCGTTAATATAATTTCAAATTTTATTGAAACCCCCCGAAACATTAAGTTGACAGTATGCTCTGTACAATGTTAATGCTCTGTCATGATTGAATTGAACACTTTTGAGGTCATTTGAATACTCCATGTTCTGTAAGAAACAACTATGGTAATTTAAAATTGGGCATGATCTATGTATATCACATTTTATATCAGCACATACCTTCCACACTCAGCAAGAGATGGATTTGGAAAGATGACACAAACACACTGGAATCAGTAAGGTACATGAACAATATTACTTGTAAAATAATATCTGCAAGGTAGTTTTCTTATACCTATATATAGGTCAAGGGTGATGTGTGGATTTTTAAATTTCATTGCATCCTTCATTAATTGTAAATTCCAACTTTTCTACACATAGGAAACTCTCCTTTTTTTTCTTACAGCACAATTCAAGGAAGTGTAGATAAAGGTACCAATTTTCACCTTGCTGCAAACAAATCAAAGAGAAGCAAAGGAGGGCTGGGCATTCATTTTCAGGATGTCCACAAGAAAAATGACAGGTAACCATACTTAAGTAGGCATAATCTTCATGGCACCTATTTGGACCTGTTCAATGTGTCAAATGCAGGCGACTTTTCCTGGAGTTGAATTCTTAAGAACTTTATCCAGGTTCAAAAGGGAAAGGAGAATTTGTTGTTGTGTGTGGATGTCCTCCAAAAAACTAATCACATCAGGGGGTTTCACCTCGAGGTCATTCAGTGGATGTCAAAGAAATTTACTAAAAAGTGTGATAGACATGCAGAGCTGTTTTTTCTCATAAAACCAATTGTTTTTTGAAGTTGTTGTTGGGATCATCATCATAGTTGCTTAAGCTCCCTAATGATCAGTCCCTTGGAGATATCAAGATCAGTCATTGGTATGGTTGTTATTTTTTTAAAAAAGGTGTTATTTGTTAATCTTGCAGGGCTACACCATCAGTCATGTCCAAAAATTATACCACAGCTGGCACAACATCTAGGCGTGGTCAAGCTTACTTGCTGCTACAACGTGCTGGTAACATGAAGGGTTCTTCTCCACGACCCAGCGTCAAAGCAGCTGGAGCCAATGAACATGCAATGGTTACCTTGGATGATGTAAAAAGTGTTGCTCTAGATTCAATGCCAGATGTTGATGTACTTCCACCGACTTTTCAAGAGTGCTACAGGTACAGTTGCTAGCTAGTCCATGCATCTGTCGTGTATTTGTTCTTATTAATTTTATGAAATAAAACAATTGGAGTTATCATACGCATTTTTGCATTAGAGCCACAGGAAGACTACCACCTTCACTCCCTGTGACATTAGAGCAAGGACTGAGGCAATTTAGTTTAATAATGGCATGTATGTGGTCGGTGGAGGAAATGATTTAAAGCAAATTAAAAGTAATAGTTTACAGAATTTACATCGATTTTCCAAATTTAAAACACAACATGATAGCTCCACCTTTATAATGTTTTTGATTAGCAGGTTGAAAAATTATATTACCTCCTTAGTTAACTAATCAATTCAGTATAATAATGAGACAGTGTAATAATTAAATTTTCCTTTGCCAGATCAGATTGAAAACACAGCTTTTGGTCCACATGAGTTTATCAAGGGTTAATTTTTAACAGTCTGTCTTACAGTAAATCCCTCTGTAATTTGAATATCCTCTGAATACTTTACTCAAGTTAAGTACAGGGTTAACTAGCCCAATTGCAAAATCCACTAGACCCAGGCTATCAGACATGACTTTCTTTACGTGCTGTTACATTATTCACTCAACACTGAGGCTCATTTTGGCCAGAAAAACAATCATGCCATCAACAATAAACAGTGTTTCTCTTCGATCATTGACCTCAATTTACTAGTGTTTCCCCCATAGGGTCTTTTTTCATAGCTGCCATCTTGTTATTGCACAGGGAGAGATGCATGTGAGTGAAAAACCAGCAAATCACTATAATCAGATGGATCAAGGCTCTCATTTATGCAGAAACAACATTGATAGAAACATTTTCCCTGACTGTCTAAAAACCAGCATCCAAATGCATGATCAACAAAAGAGAGCACTACCGGGAAAAAATGTGCAAATAAATAACATTGAAGATGCCTTGGTTATACAGAGGCTGGGTAACCACTGTTAGTAATAGTTCTAATCATATTTTGGTTTACTGAACAGCTAACTTAATGGTTGTTGTCATGCATCATATCAGCCTTTTGATTCTTTTGTTTTAGTTCTGAGCAGTTTGATGAGTTTCAACTGGCAATTCTAAATTACTTTGATGCTTTTTTTGAGAGAATGGCTATAGAGAATAAGCCCAAGCCAATGGCAGTGTAAGTGGCAAGACTAGCTAAGACTACATTTAATTATCCTTTAATTATTCATCATAGTTCATTACAGTCTTGAAGAGTTCTTGAATTTCAGCCACTATCTTACAATGTCCCTATAAACAACTTTAATCCTTAAGTCCTAAATTACTTGTAATTATAAATGTAAGATATCATTTTCATTTTCATTTTCTTTGTTTGGCAAATTCCTCGCTGAAGAGCAGTAGTCAACATTGACCTTCACATGAACATTTGGTACCTCTGCCCTCATTAAAATTATGTGATTGTATTGAATGATTTCTTTATTTACAAAATAATCTGAATTCAATCTTCACTTTAGCACAGAAAAAAATACATATTGTTTCAGATTTAGTGCAGTAGGCCTCGTATCAGATATGAAAGTCACCTTAGGATAGAATGTGAGGGTCAATACACTATACTTTTTTGTCCATAGTGAACCAAGCCTGGCTGAAAAGAAAGCCTTAGCAACAGCGGTCAGCAAACAGGAAGCAGCACAGAGGCTTCTGGGGCAGTGCTATTGTAGGCTGGTGTTAGGACTGGGACTAGAGGACAAACACCACTTAGGGTGTGGCAGGTATGATCCCCCAGAAGGGGGCACTTTGGATTTCAAGCGACAGGGATTATTGAATAGGGGCAAAAATCAAAACCCAAAAAAATCCTTGGACCAAACTTTAACAGTAAAAAAATCCCATGCCGAATTTCCGAGCCGTAAAAATTTCCAGAAAGCATTATATGATATAACACGAAAAATAGAAGCATTAGTTTTGAATCCCCAAAAACCCCTTCTCCAATCAAGTTACCCAAAAAAATACTTGCCAAAATTTTCCTACCCAAAAAAACCTCGAAATAGAAAATTTCAAACCCAAAAAAATCCTTCCGTCATCCCTGTCACCTGAAATCCGGAGTACCCCACCTGGGTATGATCAATCAGGAACTTTAGTAATAATTACTTTATAATGACAGGGTGCCCAAGCATTATTTC